GTAAGAATCAAAAGTGTATTTGATTTTAAAAATGCCAATATATATTTGATCAAATGAATAATATTAAGCATGAAAAGAAGTTTTATATTAAAAAATATCAATTTATTCATCAGTAAATTTATGTTTTTATACCACGGTCCTAATGTTGTTATCTGGACCTTAAATCATGCTTTTACTTTTTGGTATTGTAGTTCGTATTCTTATATTTTTAGATTAATTCTACTTAGTTGCTTATCAATATTTTTCTATATTTCAGGCCATTGACCAGCAGTTGGGTACTAAAAAGGAGAAGCTCTTATTGACCTGTAAAATGAAAACAGGACATTTTCAAATTGTTTTGTTGTAGGGATAGGGTACAAGTAGAAGATTGGTCAATATTATGTACATGTACCTTGATGTGAATTTATTTTTGATTGTGTTCAATGATAAACTGGAAATAAATGATAACATAAATTCCTTTGTTTTATATGTTGTAATTTTGTTTTTAAAGCTAGAATTAGTGTAATGATAATTTCATTTCAAAAGTTCTAGACTGTTTTACGAATATTTGAAATGAAGAAAAAATACAATAGTCCAATGACGTGAATTTAATTAAAGAAAAAACTCATTGAGATTGAAAAGGTATTGGTCACATTCAATTTGATATGCAAATTCCAGTTTCTTAGTTTGATGCATTGTCTCCTTTTTGTGATGGTATGAAAACCTGTTTTATTGAGAGCTATCATACGTTTTACAGTCAAGCCTTCCGGAATATTAGTTTAATTTGGGGCCTAATGAAGTAACGGCTTCTCACAATAAAATGATAAACATGTTTCTTCACGACCCTTTATGGTCTAAACATGTTTACATTCAAAACACTTCACAGCTAAACGTGTTTCCAGACAAAACACTTCTCAGCTAAACATGTTTCCAGATACAACAATTCACAGCTAAACATGTTTACAGTCTAAGCACTTTTTAGCTAAACGTGTTTCTAGTCTAAACGCTTTACAGCTAAACATGTTTACAGTCTAAGCACTTTATAGCTTGACACGTTTAGGCTGTTAGCACATTAAATATTAAACATGTTTAGATTTAAAACATGTCAAAAATCGGTTTCATAAATGTGTTTAGGAAAGTGTTTAGGCTCTAAACACATTTTTTAGAGTGTAAATGTTAGATTATACCTACAAATTGGAATAACCCATACCGTTGTTTATTATAAAACCTCTGTACTCTAAGTCCTTTTATCTAGAATACTACATATGTTTACGATCATCTTCTTTTCAACTGATGAACTACTTTTTTACACCAGTCATATGCCAAAATATACAATTCCTTGATTTTACTATACCATTTTTGAATGTATTCATCTTTAAGGTTTTGTTTCAAACTGTTTACAATTGATTTAATCTAATGGCAAATGCTGAGTCCTTAACATAGTTAAATAGAATAGTCTAAACCGATTTAAGATAGTCAATCCACTTGAACGTATAATCATCTTTTAAGTTGAACATGGTTTGATACAGGATACTGCTTAGTTTGTTTTCATTGGCGTAAAGTTAATTCCAAAAACACATCATTCTAACTTTTATCATAATATGTTTTGGGATTCGACCAAGTTTTTTCATATGTCATAAAATTTGGCGTCGAGGATCTTACTTTTAACACCGACATTTCGACAAAACTAGCCGGATTTATTTCCAGCATGTAATCGTTTCCGAATCCCCATATTTCACAGCCATGGGAAGTATGAGTGTATCAAACAGTTGTAATTGCAAGTAGACACGTATTGAGAGGTTACGTATCTTTGTATAAAGGTTAAATAGTGCTTTCTGTGCTTGTTCGCTTAAAAGTGTTTTTGCTTTAGCGAATGAACCATTGTAACTAAAAGTTAGTCCTAAATATGAATAAGAATCTGGGATTTCAATAGATTGGTTAAATAGTTGAAATTTGGGTAATTTTTGTGATTTTCGTTTGCAGAACAAATCAACCTTACAACATAATATTGCGTTATCTCAGGAAATTTCAAAAACTAAGAAGCAATCCTTTTTTTCTATTATGAGCCGTGTATCAACAGATCTCAAATTCCTAGTCATAAAAACCACGTGATTAACACCGAGTTATTTAGGAATCTCCAAACAAAATAATGGTTATATGTTGCAAAACCGAAATAGTTGAGGGTCTGGATTGGGTTCCCAGGATTGAGAATCATGGACAAAAAGTGCAAAATAAAGGGTAAAAAAATAAAGAATAGAGAAAAATAGGTAAAAAAATAAAGAATAGAATAATGCCTTTAATGGGGTGTTTAAATATAGAGAATAGAGTGTAATGGGCAGAATAGATTAAGAATAAAGAAAATCGTCTATAAAATTAAAAAAAAAAAAAGAAAACTTATTTCTGGAATGAGCTTCACCGTGTTAGTTCGGAAGTTTGTAAAGTTCAACAGTGTAGGTGCAAACTTGGTTTATGTAAAATATCATTATATAAACGAACAGGAAATTTACAAACAAAATGTATCATTTGAATTAATGTAAAATATATGATATCCTATATCCTTTGTTTTTCTATTCTAAAAGATCGAATAACACTGGCTGCTTGTGGCGGGTGGATTCTCGGAGATTGCTATTCCGAATGTACCATCGACCCAATAGTAGTCAAAACAAATGACGGTAAAATGTTACTTCCGTTCCCACAACAAATTAATGTTTCTATAACAATATTCATCGGATATGTTCGTATTAAAGGCTGTTGAGTGTTCCGTTTTCCAATTTGATTTGAAATATTGTTTATTTATCATTATTATGTTATATTGCCATCAATTGTAATTAAAAACTGTAAGTTATTTGATTTCATTTTTTTTTTCTAAATTGAAAGTAAGAAAGTAATCATACACTTACAGAGAAAATCTCATTGTTATCAATGTACTTATGATTGCTATTTTAGACAGTAAGTCATGAAAACACCATTTTGAAAGTTGATTATAACGTTTTCATTAAAGTTTCAAAAGATAACTTATAAATTAACGATTGTGCAACACGACCCCCCCCCCCCCCCAAAAAAAAAAAAAAAAAAAAAAAATAACTATAAGAACTGGATAAGTTGTAATTGATTATAATTACAGTTTACAAATTTATGGATTTACGTCCAACATATGTATATTTTAAATCTATCAATGTTGAAACAAAGTCTTCAAATTGGCTGTTGTCATTGACAACCCCGGGATAACGACCCTGTGCGCATGATATTTGTATCTTATTAGACACAATCGAGACGAAATCTCGGACGATAACATGGGAAGCGAAAAACAATAATGACGTAATAAAAATGATGATAATACTAATTGTAAAAATTATTATTTTTTCTTTAAAAAAACGTTTTAGAGTATCGTCTATAAGAATCATTGGTGTCAGTTTTTATGTATTAATAAAATGGCTAGATAAGCAAAAATAAACCTATATATTTGGTCTCTAACGGAAAGTTGTCTCAATTGCAATTATACCAGATCTTCTTCTTTTAAAAAGTGTAAGAGACCAGGTGAAGAGCCATCCGACAATTGCTTTGTTCTTTACAAAATACCCATTCCGCTGATTGCACTCATACAGAAAATAGATTGTTTAAATACTCTACGCTAGTATATTGTATTGATTGTAACAATTTTCTTTTTTACATGTATTGATTTGTATTAATATCTTCCTTACTCCATGGTTCATGTACATGTATGATTATTTATGCGTTATTTCCCCTTATTGTTTCCCGCCTCTCGATCATTAATAAATGTGTCTTCATAGCGATTACTTGTGTTTTTATTCTCTCTTCTTATTGGCGTTGACCGATTTAAAAAAATCATACATCAAAAGGGGATGTGAGGTAAATGCCACAGAAACCCAGCGACACGATATCTGTTTTCTGGTAGTTCCATGTATGTAGAATTCGGTGGCTGCCAGAGGCATTCATCGGCTGTTTATAAAATCTTACAGATCGTATTTCATAAATTAGACCTACCAATCTTTAATCACACATACATGTACGTATGTTCTTGTTTTACAAATATACTCATTATAGATTACCAGGATTAAAATTGTGTACGTCAGACGCGCGTTTCGTCTACAAAGGACTCCCAGATTTCATGAGATAATCTGTCGATTGACCATCGTCAGGAAGACTGTACTTAAACAATGTATACAGCTAATGATGTAGATCTACTGGAATACTTGAAAAGCTATATAACCTAAGGAACCTTATCAAAGATAATAGCAAAACCAACCTTAGGTGAGGGTCGTAAAGGGGGGTATCTGCACGGAAGAACGCGAAATAAAATTGCCATTTCACGATGAACGAACAATTAAAAATTTCTTGCACGTTGATCTTTTTACCGATTTCACGAAACACTGTGAATAACGAACCTTTTTCACGGTTGCACGTGAAATAAAAATGGCAAAACACGTTGCACGAAATTAACCATTTACCACCCTCTTAGGTCAACGCTGCCTGAGGGAGCTGGAATCTTAGCTTCTTTACAATTCTTGATTTTATTAACGAAGAATTTAAGAAAGTTTCAAAATATATTAGCCACTCAATGACGTTAAATTCATATCAAATGCAACTAACATTTTTCTTTACCAATTCTAATATGAAATGGTTTAAATTCTAAGGATTAAACAACATAACATTACCAAGAAGAAAGTATTTCACAATGAATGTCTGACATTAAATTCGAACATACCGAGAAACAAACAGGCATACAAATGTAAAATTTATGCCATTTATTCTGCACGTTTTGTCCTTTATTCTCTATTCTGTAAACCCCATCCAGACCCTCATGTAACACTAGAACCATTTTCCCTTTTAAATTAAAAGTCGTTTGATATTAAGAAATATTGAATTTAGTTTGTATTAAAACGAATTGAAATTAAAACTGCATTTAAATACAATTCCAAATATCTTATGGACATGAATGGAGTACAAATTCTATGTATCAAATGTCCATGTTATGTCCATGAAATAATTATTAGATTTACCTTTTATCCTACTCCCGGGCCATTGTTTGACCATCATTCATCGATCCAACCTCTTGGGCTTCTTGTATCAAAGCACATAAACCACAGAACCACCAGATCAAGAGATCATTACAACAGCTCCCTTCTATACCTTTTTGCTCTCTTATTAGTCCCCCGGATTTTTGTCACAGCAAAAATGTTAAGACCGGGTACATATAAGGCTAATGCGCACATGATGCAACTTTCGCCAACCTTTTCGGCATTCTTTCCAAACACGAAACAAGGCACAAAATATGCAATGACGCAGGTTTTGATATCATCAAAACATCCAAAAAGACCATGTTGGAATTCGCCCATGATTGATTTACGCTATTCGGAGAGCTCTGAACTAATCTAGTAAAGCCTTCAAAACTAAATGCACCTTGATAAAATAATTAAATCATATTGGCTTGTCTAAAACAAATATCAGAATTTGCATTGGATGTTCTCATTGGCGTATCGATAGAAGCTTAAATGTGATTCGCCAGAAGAACCTATTCGTGTTAAACAACCGGATCCAAACCGTTATAATAGACATGCCATGGACAAATTACTATGTGTAATTTAATTAGGAACAACTAGCGATCTCCACCAGATAGAGGACATTTTAACTTAAGGTAGACTATCGTTTTACAATGAAAATGAAAAAAAAAAACACATGTTTAGCAACACTTATCCATTAAATTTCTAAATAATGTCTTTTTCGTCATTTTTATGAATAAAGTCTTTTCTGGTTTTAGTGTATTTGTGGATTTTGTCTCCTTGACGTATATTCCATGGACACGCCTTTATTTATTCTTAAACAACCAAACCAATCAGTATATTAGTATATATAGTAAAATAAAGTACCATAAAAAAAACTAACAGCAGAGAGGAACCCTTTACTATCTTATTTCGCGACGATATAGCCATTACGTGCACACTTGGCGTGAAAGGGCTATAAATCAATCAAACAATCTTTATGTTAAATCGTCAAATCATTTATTCAAATATTGGAATTTGCCTTCATATTGCATACATAGACACGTGTCGTTTGTTGAAGACGTAAGTTGACATGTAGATGGTTTTTTGTTTGTTTGGTCGCTGTCTCGTTGATGTATTCTACACATTCACGAATCACTGAATTTTTAAAAGAATAGTGCTTCCTTCCATCACTATTATCTACCTTATCACTTGCTAGACGTACTTCTATAATTAACTGAAATATTTAAAACAAGAAGCTGAACTGAGGTTACTCAAACTTAAAGGTTTCCTTCTATGATAAAAATCTAAGTTTTTGACTCAAAATAGTAATTTTTGGTCATTAAATGTCAGTTTCCGTATAAAATCATCCTGTCATCTCTAAAAATGAAGATACTAAAGACCTTATGTAAACCTAAACTTAACGGTTTCCATTTTTCTGAGATTTTATGATAAAATCTTAGTTTTTGTCTCAAAACACTATTTCTGGTCATGAAATTTTGTCAGTTTCCTTATTCAATCATTTTTGTGAAGTTTCAACTTGAAAACTAAATATTCCAGTTTCCTGGATACAAATTTTATTTTTTTGCCTCAACATACTAATTTCCGGTTACGAAATTTTGTCAGTTTCCGTATACAATCGTGTTTGTGATGTTTCAAATAGAGTTAAATTGCTATAAAAGATTCTGCCCCATTTACGATTTCCCAGTTTTCATTGGATTTGTTTTTATAAAATGATTGTAACAAAAACCCATCTGTTTGCTATAATATTAACTTGGTAGACTTTTAGTATATCAAATATGATGATATCCTGGACACAAAAAAACCCACTCATGACAAGTATTTGCAATTTTACTAATGTTTAAGACTTTCCTTTATAGATTAACGGACTATAAGCCACCAGTCACCGATTGAAAAATATTTTTTCTATGGATTTTCCCTTTAAATTGACCTGATCTCAAACTTTAACATGTAAACTAAGCAAAATTTTCAAAGTCAATAGAATATGACCGAGGGGGGGGGGGGGGGGGGGGGGGGGGGGGGGGGGGGGGGGGGGGGGGGGGGTTGCTAGGTCAAATGATCTCCATTGAAATGATATTTGCCAATGATAAAACAAATGCATACCAAATATCTTTGACTTATCATAAGTTGTTCCCCTTAAATTGACCTGATCTCAAACTTTAACATTTAAACTAAGAAAAAGTTTCGAAGTCGATAGAGCATGACTGAGGGGTAGGGCCAAATAACCTCCATGGAAATGATATGTGCAATGATAAAATAAATGCATGCTAAATATCATTGACCTACATGTACCACTAGTAGTTTCCCTTAAACGGACCTTATAACAAACTTTTAAGAAATTGTTGACACCGCCGACGCCGGAAACAGCACACCCAAGTCTCGCCTCCACTTCTTCGCCATGTAGAGGCGAGACAAAAACTATTATTACATTGTTTGCAATGAATTATCGTGATTTCCCAGTGAAATAAAAACCGATAATTTCACATGTGAAATAAACTCGATAATTTCACTCCTCTGACGTCATACAATAATAGGGTTGTCAAGACGTTGTCGATGACATTACATCAAAACAAATTGTGAATGTGTAGAAAAAGATATAGTCCCTTGCATTTTCTATTCTATTTCTATTAAAAAGCTCATTGTCAATGTAACAAAAAGAATAACTAATCAAAAAATTCAAATATCGAACAACACTGATTATAAACGCATGCGCATTCGTGAATTGATGTGTTGTTCGGTCACTCGTTGAATATTTTTCTATATTTGAATTCTTCGATTATTTATTCTATAATTACTCGTAATTAAGTTTTGTTATTTTAAAAAAAAGTATTTTATACAATTATTAACTTTTGATGAGGTTGATACAATGATTTATCGACCCCAGATATATGATATTCGACCCCAGATATATGATATTCACCGAGGCCAACGGCCGAGGGTGAATTTCATATCTCTGGGGTTGATAAATCATTGTATCAACAAAAATCAAAAGTCAACAATTGTTTTATTATATGACTTTTTATCCTTCTCCAATTTTCTAGTATTTGCTCAAGATACTTTTAAACTGCAGCCTGTTTTTATACTAAATATATCAACTGCTTTTGCAGTTGCTAACCTTCATAAGTTGAAATAGTCACTGAAGTTTACTACAAATACACCGAAAATCAAAAGAAAAAGAAAAAACGAGAATTTGCATGACGTCATAAACCTACGTCATTGACGTTGCCTTGGAATATCTATATTTAGGTACACGGACGCTGTTTTAATCTTATATTAACCTCTCGTGATTTTTTCCGCGGTGAATATAATGTTTTATCAAAGAGGATTCCCTAAGCTTTTAGCCAATGAAAAAACAGAAAATTTATAGTCATATAATAATATAATATATTATAGACTATGTGGTCTCGATTGTTGCACTGTTGCACTTTGATGTGTGGTTTCCTTGATTTATCAGTCAAATGAAATGTTTATGTCCGAATAATGTCCGTTTTATCTCGCTTGAGAAACTTTAATTAAGAACAGTAGACTGATCATCGCTGCTTTAACATTCTACTTGTGGTGACGTTTTATTCCTTAACTTCTCTATTATGCCTTCATTAATTATCAATTATGGACTTTTGATGAGGTCAATACGTTATATATGGACCAGTTCAGATTATATTGACCGAGGACGTAGTCCGAGGTTCAATAAAATCTAATAGGTCCATATATAACGTATTGACTGAGTGAAAGTCCTTAATCTATATATTACATCTGTAAATAATGTAAGTTTGAAAATGATATTGACTCAATGTTACTATTTTTGGAAATGATATTGATTCGATGTTACTATTTTTAGTTACATGGAGTCAATATCCTTTTTAAAAATGGTAACGTCGAGTCAATATTATACAATTACTGTCTTTTGATGAGGTAAATGTGTGGTTTTATTGACTTTTGAAAAACTGATATTCACTGAGGCCAACGGCCGAAGTGAATGTCACTAGGTTTTTCAAAAGTCAATTAAACCACATATTTACCGAAACAAAAGACAGTAATTGTTTTATTCCATGTTCCGAGAGAGAAAAATATGTTTAAAATAACAGTTATTTACCAAAACCAACTAAACGTCATACATTGTATCGTTATTATACACGTAAAAGCACGCGACGTTTTCGGCGCGGTGAATATACTTTTTCCGCAGGTGAATATGCTTATTCATTCAAAATCCCATTCATATAGTAAAACCTACTAAAGTTCTTTCAATATGGAATAAGTCAAAATAGTGAAAAAATACAAATTATATATTGGGCACACGTGATCAAATAAACCAATGAGAAACAAGAAACATCAAACCATATGTAGTATTTTAAGATACAACAGTTTTTCAGTGGACCGTCAGTATATTAACTGCACTTAGTATTATTGTCCAAGAAATAAGTGTTGTGCGCATGATAATCTTTTATATTATTAACACTTGCTCGGTGTTTCGCTGCTTGTGTAATGTCACGAAGTCTTTAAGTCGAGGTTACTAACCGTCCAGTAGCCAGTATTTTGGTACTGGCATAAATTTAATGATTATATTGACTTTTAAACGGTTTTGTCTATTATTAAGACAAACAAAAGGAGATGTGGTATGATTTTCAATGAGAACACTATCCACCAGAGACAACCTAAGAACGTATATGGATATTCTACTCAGAATGTTGAAATTTACCGTTTCAAATCTTGTAAAAAACACGGAACATAATTTACACTTTTTATGACATGTAGGTTACAAAAAAATATAATTATAGAATAACTAATCGAAGAATTCAAATAGAGAAAAATATTCAACGAGTGACCGAACAACACATTAATTCACGAATGCGCGTAGCGCATGAGTTAATTATCAGTGTTGTGCGGTCACGAGTTGAATATTTTTCGATATTTGAATTCTTTGATTAGTTATTCTTTTTATTACATTGGCAAAAGGCTTTTTTTAATGAAATTAATGTAGAAAATGTAAGGAACTATATATTTTTTCTACACATTCACAATTTGTTTTGATCCGACGTTATCGACGTCTTGACAACGCCTATTGTTGTATGACGTCAGAGAGTGAAGTAACCACGTTTATTTCACATGTGAAATTATCGGTTTTTATTTGACTGGATATGTTATCAAGTTAGTTGGGGTGTATAACATTTGCAACGGAAGAGAAGATCCTGTATTAGCCTTTTGGTCAGTGCTTTTGGTCAATACGTTTTTTCCCTGTTAAGGCTAATATGATCATACCATTTAATAAAGAAAGCTTTAAAAAGCCCCGGTATTTCAAAGTGTGAAGCAATTCAAAAGAGAAAAGCTAAGCAATGATATTAATGTAGAAAATAGAGAAGGTTTTGATTGTACTGTTGAAATGAAGATGGAAAACATGTTTTATTAGATTGTCCTGTA